GCCGACCCAAATCAAATTGCGATTTGGGTTGACCCTATTCCGAATTGGGTCAGATTTCGATTTGGGTCAGAACATTAATATAAGTATATTAAAAATAAATAAAAAAAAATCGTGGTAAATATTATAGAAAAACAACAAGAAAATAAAGAATTATTAAACGAAATAGAATTATTAAAACAACAATTAGAAGATAAAGATTGAGAACTCAATGATTATAAAAATACAGAAGTAAGTGAACAAGAAGAAGCAGAATTTAAACAAAAAGCAACTGAAAGAATTCACCAAATGTTGGTAGAGATGAGGAACAGGTTTTCTCACTGTAGCAAAAACATTGAACAAGATAAGAGAATTAATTAGCAAACCATTAAGAAAACAGTTTATGAATATTTGTTTTCAACACAGTTTTATGCATGACTATAATTGGAAAAAAAGAAGAATTTGGAAAAAGTTGTAGAGAGAATTGTAATAGACCATTTTGAAAGCACCGAGTTAGCTACAGACTTGTTAAAAGATTGAAAAAAATGAAATAAAAAAATCTCATATTTTTGTTCGAATAAAAGAAGGAGGTGAAATCTTGGTAAGTATAAGGATATAATTTTTAAAGATATTATTGGTAGTAAGAATAAAAAAATTAAAGAGTTGGAAGCAAAGTAGAAGAATTAGAAGAAAAAGTAGAAGGTTTGGAAGATAATTTAGAAATGGAACGTGAAGAAGCTGAGAAAGCATTGAATACAGCCATGAAGTGGAGAGAACGCCAAATGAAAGAAGTAAAAATCAATCAATGTTTCGAGAGAGAAGTGTTTTTAAAAAAAATAGAAGTTTTAGAAAATAACATTAATTGATTAAGAAATAAAAAACAAGTTGTCAAAAAATATGAGAATAAAGAAATCCAATCTCTTACTGAAAGTGAATTAATTTCTTGATCTTTCAGTTCTCGTTTAGAAAGAGAACTAGCAAACTAGAAAAAGAGTTAATGACTACTAAAGAGGAATTAAACATTAAAAGAGAGAAAGTTGCTAAATTTCATAAAAAGTCAAAGGAGTGAAGTAAAAGCAAAAGAAAGAGTTGCTGGATAAGATTAAAAAACAGGAAGCAGAAATTATTAAATTAACCCAAGAAAACCAAGACTTAAAAATGGTCAAGTTGCTCAAGTAGAAGTTAAGGAGCCTAGGAAATGACCTTGATTGAAATTAAGAAAATAATTGTTCTTTTTTTAGAATGCTTCTAATGGTGCTGTAATTTTTGGGTTTCATGGTGGATTTAATGTAAATTAGTTTCATATACTTTATTTTTATATATAGGGACAGTCCTATATTAATCCTGTTATGGTTTATATTCATCACATTCTGGTATGTAAAGGGAACATTAAAATTAACAAGTCCATAAGCTATGGATGAGCACCATTATTACTTTTCAAAACGTCATCAGTTGCACTGGTCAATTTTACAGCCACATCTCTCATTTATGTCACATAATAAAATGTTCACTTTGTCTGGTTTTGTTGCAGCATGCCCCATTTACTAATTAATTTTCAAAAACTCTAGATATAGTGGATTTTTGAGAATTTTTTGCTAATAGATTTTTTTTGATACACTACTTAATTCTAATACAAAATTGCCATTGAAAAATTTTTTTGTTGTATGTCGATTGAAATCTATGTCAGTTCCGTTCCAATTTGTGCCGTGCGGATTAAATTCACTCGAGCGGATCGGAACAGGAACGACAAATTTGTAATGTCCGTTTGTTTCCATCCCCACCACACGCACATTTTATTAATAAGTGTAAAAAAAATAAAAAGTTGTATTGCGCAAAATGGTCCTAATGGCTTTCGGAAATATATCCCGTCAAATGACCCAAAATTTCTTACTAAAGACCCCAAAATAAAAACCGTTCAAATACCGTCGATAATATTTGTACTGCTACCAAACGTTACCATACGCTACCATAATTCTTTAAGCTCACATCGCTCTATGACTTTTCACTCACAACTATGCCCCAGTCTCACCTATTCACTAAGAGGACATCAAAGTTCCGGAACTACTATTATTAAGCTTAGAATAAATATTTGCTCAGACCACGTATAGAAAGCAGTCGTATAAACTAAAAATCCCAAATGTGATTAATAAGAATGACTTATGTTATTATCTTACAAATAAATTTATAATTGAAAAATGGGGTGACACTTAATTTGGTAATAGCAGGCTTTACATAAAACACATATGTTGTTATATTGACTTACAGAAGTGATCAACTCTGAATGTCTTCTAGTATGGTAAAATTGTTAGTTTGTGAGTTTGATGATAAACTGGAATAAGCAATCATAGTAAGACCGGGCGGGCGTAGGCAAGTCAAAGCGTAAGGTCAGCGTAAGGTCAGCGTGAGCTTAAAGACTAAGACGTTATGTTATTCTATTAAAAATAGCAAAAGTGTAATGCTTGGTAACGATACAAATACAACTTGTTCTTTATCGTGGTATTTGAGACGGTTTTTGTTTTAGGGACCTTGACAAGAAATTTTGGGGACATTTACATATACCAATATTAATATACATTTCTGTACACTTGAAGTCTTAAAAACAACGAAACGGGGAACGTTCTTAATTTTCCCTGATTGATACAATTGGGGGACGGAATATGGCTACAGATTCCATTCCGAATAGACCAATAGTAAGACAATAATCAGTGTAGAGCTGGGATGTTGAGCAATTGATTCAGGAGGTTACGTTTTGGTGTTATAGTGATCTGATCATATGATGTTTATTTGCATACCGTATAGGAAGGAATAGTATTGTGACCGGTTACAAGACCATATTATTAATACAATTCGTAAAAAAGATTCGAGGCAATTTTGTATTGGCAGATGTATCATAGAAATCGACGGTAACAATAAAATGGTGCCGTTCGGAAATCAGACAATAATATACACAATATCGTAAAAATCTTGATTTAAGTATGAGCGCATTGAACGTGAAGACAAGTTCGTTCGAAATAAGTATAAGTTTCAATTGAGACAAGACTTTTTTTGGATCTGAAGTAAAAAATTAATAACGAGTCATCTTTTATTTTACTAATTACTAATTCCATCATACTCTTTTTTATTACTAAGTATTCCCAATTGAGCCTTTATTTATTAATATTAAGGACTTCTTTTAAAACTGATGGATATAACCCCCTTTTATTATTTTTATTTCCATGTCTTATAGACCAGGCATGTAAAATTCGACCATTAAAAAGAGATTCGATTTTATAGAGGATTCCTAATGCACCTGCCTCTGCTAGTAAAGTCATTGTTTCTGGCGAGAGATTATAATTATAATAATACTTGGGTATAATAATAGTCATCAATTTCTGTAATTATCATATTGAGGTATGGTGCGCCAGAGTCGTCAAAAGTCTGTGTTTGAAATACTGATTTTCTGTATTATATTTAAAGCAGATTCTGAAAAATGCGGAATTTCAGTACTTTTCATCCAATCATTTCGTAGCACAAAAATATACATTTATGGAAAACTAAACGCCAAATGACGTACACTTTTCGACATTTCAGTCTGTTATTTATTTAAGAAACGGTATAACGAGGACGGTTATTTAGATTGGGAACAAGTGAATGACTGAAAGCATGATGGAAAGGTAATAGAGCGATTGAAAGTAGAAAAACGAAAAAGTGAGAATTGAAATAGTGAGCGATTGAAAGAGTGCAAGTAATTACAAGAGGAGTGAATGAGAGCGGGAGGGTGAGTTTGAAAGTGATCGAAAGAAAGAGAAGCGCAATAGCTAGAGAAAAGAATAATTAAACAAAGGTGTGAGCAATGGGAAGAGAATTGAACAGTGAAGGGAAAGTGATTCGGAGAATGGTTGGGAGAATGATTGTGAGAATGGTTGGGGAAGGTGATCGGGAAGAGGTTGGGGTATCAGCGATACGGTCCAGACTTTTTGGGACCAAGCACGACGGTGGAGTTGTCGCAGATTAGGCAGGATCTTTGACGATAGGACAATCAGTAGGCGATCGGTAGTAGGAAGCTCGCCATATCCAGAAAGGTTCGGAAAACTATTAGGATGGACAATCATGCACGAACTTCCTGGACCAATGTGGCTTGCGCCATACGTATTGGACTATCTGTTCGGTGTCGAAAGTGATGAAGAGAAGGAGGTTGTCGGCAAATGGACCTGATTGATTTCCATGAGTTCACAGATGTGAAATTTTGAACTGGCTGAATGAGGTGGCTGATCATTTCCTAAAAGACATTATTCCAGCAAGCCTATTGGCCTATGCAGAGGAAATTGACATTACTCGTAGTCAGTTGGGGGAGTTTGAGTGAATTTAGACGCTTAGTAATAACGCATGAACTGTACGCGTGTCGATCTGGTAGTCTGGAGAAATTACGTCTTGGTTCTGATTGTGTGCGCGATTGGATATCAGTTCCGGGGATGGATGTCAACTTGGATGGAGAATCATTGTGTGAGGTTTGTATTTACTCGATCAATTGATTCTTTATCGGAGATTTCAATATTCTAATTACTATTTCTTAATGTAGTTGCTAAAACCTCGGTTAAATGATATCAAAGGCGATTGATTATACGCCAATCAGTTAACGCGCGAGAGATTTGTGGCCATGTTCGACTGGAGAAATGTGGAGCGAAACTTGAGCGCAGTAACAAGAAACTGAGGTGATGTTGTCTCTTGGTTGCGTGAATTTATACAAGAGATGGAGACTGAGGAAGAACGGTCTGACATCCTAAAATTTATCACTGGTTCCCGCGTTGCAGCCTTCGATAGGAGCATCAGGGTAAGTAATACATTAAGTGCAATAAATTATTATTTAGAGTTTAGCATTAACAATATTAACGATGCTTTGTCAATCCATACGCGACCTTCCTCACCCATATAATAGATATGCGGGCTCCTACACATGCACCTCAACTCTGGAAATTTGTAGTAGCTACCGTAACGATGACAAAGAAAACTTTTTCACAGAGTTGAGGAGGAATGCGGTGAAGGGTTTAATGAAATAGGGATCCGGCAGCGAGAGACATCATTGGAGGTTATTAATGATTAATGTACATTATGTTATTGAATTAATTACTAGGGGTTTACATATTTGGTCTCTATTTTAAAAGCCTTGTTTTCGTAAACTGTGTCCCGTACTTATACCCTCAACGAAACAATTTCAAACATATATTTGATTTCGATGAATCTGTTTTACCGATATCCATGTAAAGGTAAAAACATCAAAGTATTTTTTGATAAATTAATCGAGAATGTATCAATCAATAAGTTTTGATATACTGAATTCAGTTAATATAAAGTATCGGTCACCCTAACTTTATTAATTGCTCAAAAGTGTACATAATAATTGGGACTAAAATTTTTATATGTTATAGTCTAACTTGTTATGAATCTATATTAATATATGAAATTAATACTTTGTTGGCCAGCCCTTGCTTGCAGTACATGCTTCGACCCTTCTAGGCATACTTTTAATTAAATTCATTAAAACATTGTTGGGAATTTGGCTCCATTCCTCCTGTAATGCTGTCTCGAGTTCCCTTACATTGTCGAACGGTTTCTAATGCGTCTTTCCGGTTCTGACCATAAATGTTCAATAGGGTTCAAATCTGGTGATTGGCTTGGCCAATTAGGTAAAGTTCTGATCTTCCTTTCTGCAACCCATTCATTAACATCTTTCGCAGTGTGAATGGAGACATTGTCATCTTGAAACAAATACCCTTTTTCACCAAAATCTCTTCTAATCAATGGTAATAAATGGGTTTTAAGTATTTGAATATAATCGAATCTGTTATTCACTTTTACCAATGGGCCTAAGCCTTTACTAGAAAAACAA